TGCAAGCCACGTATTGCTTAACAAATCCACACCTCAAAAGGTCATGTTTTCCATGTCTTTTCAACGAATCCATTGCTTCCTCGCACTCTGTTATCCTTTTGCATATCCCAGGACTTCCTAACTGAACACATGATGATCCTTCTGCAAGAACAAATTTTAAAATTAAAGTATCTGTTGCTGTACAGTTGATATTTTGATTATACGAGAATATACCCTATGCAAATTATTACAGACTATATTATTATATTTTTGCTTTTTACGATTCAAATTTACGAGGTAATAATGTTGTTTAAGAAATTACCTACTCTTATTATTCAAGAAATATTTACATTTTTATAAAGAAGGGCTATTTTAATACTTCTCATTTATTTTCTATGTATATTTAAGTTTTTGTAAACAAACCATGCATTGAGGTTCTTTATTTCATTTACTAAATACCCCTACTAAAATACTGCAACAATTAAAAAATTGGTACTACTACCCATTTATAACTTGTTTAATTCTTAAATGGAATATCCTGTATATTTTGAAACCACCCAATGCAAAATTTCATTAACTATAACTCTTTGGCTATCTCTTTATTATTTAGTACAAAATGCATCATCATCCTTATCATTTTGAGCTTACTCAACTCATGTTCAGATACTTTCTTTGTAGCCCATTGTAGATACTCTCTTTGTGAGCCCATTGTTGTCTATTGTTGACTATGTGGACCCATGTTATCCCTACTAATTTCCTAAATCAAGGTCCCATCTCAGGTTTGGTCTTCTAGGCATCTTAATTCCCGTGGATATATATATAATGCTTTTAAAACGTCCTTCGATGTTCTGCGATGCCTAGTCGCCATTGGTTTCTTTCATTCCAGTCTCCGTCACGCAGATCCCTTCAGCTCATCGCCTTCTTGACACCCCCCATCCAGTTTGTCCTTGGTCTTTCCCACTTCCTTCTCTTTTGTGGAAACCAGTTTAGTACCTTCTGAGGCAGTCGCGTGTTGTCTATCCTTCTCACATGTCCATATCACCTCAGTTGGGCACTCTCTATTTCCTCTACTATAGTTTTTGTCTACCCATTTTGTCTCGTTTCGTACTCTATCAAGTCTTGATGGCTGTGTTGATCTCCTTATCGCGTCCATTTCTGCTGCCAGTAATTTTCTTTGTTATTCTCTGTTAACCTCCATGTTTCCGCCTCAAATAACAGATCGCTCTTGATTATTGTATCATAAATTCTTAGTTTTCTGTCTTACCTATTTCGTTACTCCAGAGCATATTATTCAGATATTTTATTGCATTTTGACTGTTCTCGAGCTTATTTCGTTTTCATGTTTCCCGGATTTATCGAAAGTAACGCCTAGGTATTTATATTCGTTACATGTTTGTATGTATTTTCTCGTACCTATGCTGTACTTTTGTGGTCCATCTGTCCGTCCTTCTTGGCAGATGTCCTGCCCATTCCACTTGAGGGATTTGATCTGTTGACATTTATTGCCTGGGTCTTTGTCGTATCTACTCATTTTTACGGTCTTCTTCTTGTTAATTCCAGCATATTTCGTCCCATTGAACGCTGTGTGGTTGGTTATTTTTAATCCTTTGCTGGTCCAGGTCCAGTCCATTTGACGGAGGATTTCTTCTAGTGTTGCTAAACAGCTTTGGGGATATCGTAATCTCCCTGTCGTATCCCTTTGTCAGTTGGGAACTCAGGGGTTGTTGTTTCATATATAATTACTCTTAAGTATGACTTCATAGTATACAGGGGTGGTCCGGAACTGTATTCCGAAACTTCTGCATATTCCTGCAGATAAAAATAAGTAAAATGTCTGTATAGATGTATGTCAAAAAATGCTTAGTTTCTGAGGTACAAGGTGTAGGCAATGAGCTTGGATTAAACAGGTGTTTGGGAATTTTTGATATGAGTCTTTTTAATGTCAATATGACTCAATTGCAGGGTGGGTTACCTATTATTAGAAGCATGTTTTGAAGAGTAATATCTGTTCAGGCCTGTATAAAACTATCGTGTAAAAAATATACATTTACGACGCTTTTTACGTAAAAAAGGTCTCTTGGTAAAAATCGCTACGAGTAATGGTTTTCGAGATATTTGCAATCGAAATTATCAATACCTGTCATCACTGACATAAATTAAACATGTTGACTAAATAGTTATTAGACTCATAATCATAAATTTGAAATGTTTTAGTACCAAAAGTTCAACAAAAACTGTTTTATCATAATTTTTTTGCAGAAAAATATGATTAATTTTAAAAAAATAATAATTTCCCAAATTTATTATTTCAGTGAAATAACTATCTACTCAAGGCGTTTATTTTTCGTCAATAATGGCATGTATTGACTATTTCCATTTTAAATATCTTGAGAACGGTTGCTTGTAGGGATTTTTACAAAGAGATATTTTTTACGTAAAAAATCACAGAGATGTATATTTTTTCCATCGGTAGTTTTATACAGGTACGGACAAAAGTTATTACGCTTCAAAACAGTTACAACACACCCTCTACCAGTAGGAGTCATATTGACATCAAAATCCAAATTTCTCATGTCAAAAAACTTCTAGACACCAATTTTAATTTAAATATTGACGTTACTTCAGAAATTATTTGGATAAAATCGAAATAAAAATGAACTTTCTACACCCTGTATCTCCGAAACTAAGCATTTTAGGGCCTACATTTATACGAACTGTTTCATCTATTTTTATCTGCAGAATATGCTGTCCAAATTTCCGGAATACAACTTGGACCACCCTGTATATTGGCAAGAGTTTCTATATAAGGCTGAAGAAGTCAGACCAGATGGTTATCTCTTCAGGTATCATAAGTCATTTCATATCATGATCTTGTTGGTATTTTTTTTTTGTTTTTCTTTTAGGCAGTAGTTAACCGAATTTTGCAGCATTGGGAGTCGTTGGTTTTAGTTGTTTCTAAGGGTTTTTAAGGTTCTTCCTTGTTTCTCTAGGGTTTTCTATTCTATAGTGTCTAGTATATTGATTGGCAGTGGACATCAATTATTACAAATAAAACAATAAGCGCAGATTGTCTCTGCTAATAGCGTGAGTGACATAGTGACATGAGCTGTCAATTGCGGAGTTCCACACCTAATTTAATACGCAATAGTTACTGTTGTAGTCAGCAATAGTACCTAACCGGTGCGTCTCAAAAGTGGCTCACCCCTATAACTTTTTTATTTTTTTAGTTAAAAAACGAAATTTGGTATGTTAGTATATGATATAAATTAAGACTGATTGACGTATTCGATTGTTTTCGGTCACATCCTGTATCACTCTTACTCTGACACTCTAGATTGAATTTTAAAATACGATTTTTTATTAAGCGGGAATGTCAAAAGTTGACATATGATATGTCATTCTATTCAAAATGTCATTTTCTATCGAATAAAGTAAAAAAATACCGAGGGTGCCATTTAAAAATCAAAAGTTGTAGTCATTTCCGGTGAAACAGGAGGTCACCAAAAACAATTTAATACGTCAACCAATCCTAATTTATGTCATATACATACCAAATCTCTTACCTTTTTTATTTACATTCACTTAGAGGAATCGGAACCAACCTTCTTTGTGTATTTACATTTTAAATTGGCACTAAGTAATAATTATTGAATAATATTATCATACCACAAGATGAAAGAGATACAAACCTACCATACCTATAAAAATAAATTCTCTGACGCAAACCTAGGTACAAGATTTAATACTACTTAATTATTTTTGTCGTTAGTATTTTATCTTTACTATTATTTTATTACTCGGAAGTATTGAATTTAATGAAACATCTGGTAGATATAATGTCTGTGATTTATTATCAACAAAATAGAAAACCCAAAATATTTATACAAACTTTTATCTTTAGGATATAATACTCTCTGATATGTTTTAAATAATATAGTCTGTAATAATTTGCATAGGGTATATTCTCGTATAATCAAAAATATCTTAACTATGCCTTAACAGATACTTTAATTTTAAATTTGTTCTTGCAGAAGGATCATCATGTGTTCAGTTAGGAAGTCCTGGGATATGCAAAAGGATAACAGAGTGCGAGGAAGCAATGGATTCGTTGAAAAGACATGGAAAACATGACCTTTTGAGGTGTGGATTTGTTAAAGATGAAGAGGTAATATTCAGTCTTCCAACATCAAAATTTATTCATTAACTAAAAAGAAAAAAAATGTGTCGGCTATTTTTCTTTTCCTGCCTTGCCTGAGTTGGTTGAGTAAAAATCTGGTCACTTGAGTATAGTACCCAGTAGTACATAATCAGGTATACGGTATAAAACATTGTTCTAATATTTTTGATGTAAATATAATATAGATTATTTGATAATTAACAGTAAATTTACAGGAAAAATTATATTTTAGGTAGTTTACAGGGGTAAAACTATTTCCCAATAATTAAAAAATATTTCTTAACATACTACATAGGATACCACTTATTAATACCACTTCAATTTGTTAGATGTAGAATGGTACTTATATTAATATAATATATATAATATAATAACTTATATTAATATAATATATATAATTCATGTAGAATGGTACTTATACCTATAAAGTAATTATTCCCTTTCAAGGTTCTTTTTTCTGTTTACAAGCATTTTACGTAGAGTATTTTAAATACCAAAATATGACATCAACACCTTGTTTTATTTCTATATATTTTAATAGATGATTTTAGTTATCGACAGTTTTTTTGCGTTAATTACTAAGTATAAGTATCAAATATACCGAGAAAAATCATTCGAAAATGGAAAAAAAATTAAAAGTCTTAGTACTTTATTGATAAGTTTCTCAAAAGTACTACCAAAATTTCCAAGAATATTGCAAAACTTTATAATAAATATTACAATTTTTTTAGGTGGTTTGCTGTCATGGATTCTTTTTTGACCGAAATCCTACGATAGAAAGAACGACAGTAGACAGTAGAACAGTGTGGAGCACTAATGACATTGATGATGGCAAAAAACCAAACGGGAAACGCATGAGTGAAAGAAGTAAGTATAGTTCATATAAGGTCATTACTACCGCTTTTCCGGCCAAAATATTCTAATAAAGTTGCGATGAGTTTTTTACGGCTATTAAGCTATCTTTTACACTTCGCACTAAAAGAGGTTCTAAAAAGAACAATGTTCGACTGCAAGGTCTGCTAGTAAAAATTTCTAAGCTTAAATTATCACAACACAATAATTCATTTAAATCAAAAACTCGTAATACAAAACTAAAGTGTCAAAACGAATGACAATGTCAGGAAATAAATAAATAAGTGTCATGTGGCAACCTGACATTTTTTACAGCGGAGCTACCTGAATCTACAGCAGGAAATTTAAATCCCAGTTATGGTAGTACCAGACACAGCTACTTTTGTTGTGCAATTTTTTTGCAGTCGCTAGTCGTTGCAAAAGTTGCATACAGTGTTCATACACCAGCAGAAAGTAGCCCAAAACGAAATGCAGCAGCTGCCTAAAAAAGTTTTCATATGTTCAAACCAAAGCGCTACTTTTGCAACATATTTTTGTAGCCGCAGCCTTGGAGGGGCAACATTCAACAGTACATGACAGTACACCACCCACAGCTCAAGGTATCGTGTGTGTACCTTTTGGAAGACGATGTGAATTTTCTTTTTTATGTCTTCATCGGGTATATGTAAGAAATACAAAAGGCTATTAAAACACTTAAGAACAATAAAGCAGCCGGCCCGATAGCGTTCCTGCAGACCTCCTCAAAGCAGATCCTAGCACAGCAGCAGTCATACTGCATCCTCTAATTACACGAGCTTGGGTATCCAACATCATCCCAGATGAATGGAAACAGGGTCTCATTATTAAACTCCCTAAAAAGGGAGATACCACTAACTGTGACAACTGGAGAGGTATTGTTTTGTTAAACACCATTAACAAGATAACATCCTCTATAGTTCATTTAAGGTTAAACTCCTATATAGAGCCTACTCTGAGAGAGAACCAAGCTGGTTTCAGACCGAACCACTCGTGCATTGACCATATTAACACATTGCGCATTATCATAGAGCAGTCAATAGAATTTAGGTCACCTTTATTCTTATTATTCATAGACTTCGTCAAAGCTTTTGACAGTATCCCCCATGCGATGGTATGGAAAACTCTAAAAGAAAAAGGTGTTCCGGAAAAACTAATTAATATAGTCAAGGAACTCTACAGAAACACAGAATGCAATGTGCTGCACAACGGCAGAACCAGCGACAGTTTTAACTTAGGGACAGGAGTAAAGCAGGGTTGCACATTATCGCCGCTTCTATTTAATATCGTGCTCGACAGCGTTTTGACTAAAGCCACAGCAAACATTAGGGGAGTACAATGGACTCTGACATCGCATCTGACGGATCTTGATTATGCTGATGATATCTGTCTCACAACGCAATCCTTCAAAGACATGGAAGTGATGCTCAGACGTCTAAAAACAGAAGCAGACAAAGTAGGATTAAGCATAAACATCGACAAAACAAAGTCAATGCGCATTAACACAAATAACAACACTCCATTCAATGTAGGAATCAAACATGTCGAGAATGTAACAGAGTTTACTTATCTGGGAAGTATTGTAACAGCAAACGGTGGCGCAGACGCGTATATTGTTAGCAGGATCAGGAAGGCGCAGCGAGTTTTTGGACAAATAAAATCAGTTTGGACCTCCCTTCAACTCTCCATAAAAACAAAATTAAGAATATTTAATTCCAACGTCATACCAGTTTTATTATATGGGTGCGAGACATGGAGAGGGACAAAAATATCCATCAAGCGTCCACAGGTATTTATCAATCGCTGCTTGCGGAAAATACTTAAAATCTTTTGGCTAGACACCATACGTAACACCGACCTGCTTCATCTTACAAACCAACAAGAAGTAGGATTAAATCCGCAAAAGAAAATGGGGTTGGATAGTTCACACCTTGCGGAAACCTGATAGTAATATAGGGAGATCAGCGTTGGAGTGGAATCCCCAAGGAAAAAGAAAGCAAGGACGACCTGCTCAAACATGGAGACGTTCCATACTGGATGAGCTTCAACAGTTAGGAGTCAACATGGAAGGAAGCAAAAACAACTGCCAAAAACAGAACCCGATGGAGAGCTTTCACTGAAGCCCTTTGCTCCGCGTAGGAGATCCTATATATATCGGGTATATGTAATTCAGAAGAAATTTCCGAAATAGCGGCTCGTCTTTTCGTTTGGATGTGATAGAATGGACTTTTTTTACGTTCCATAAACACTCATCCCTTGCTTCTACCGCTTCTATCAAACATTTTACTTGTTCTCTGTTCCAAATCCCTTGTTTTGACTTCGACAACATCATAATTTGTCGGTTAATTCTTTACTAAATACCTACATATAAATCCTGGAGTTAACTGAAAAAAAGTATATACGTTTCGGGCATACCAACAGAATACTGCACCAATGTCCGCAGTAAAAGTTTCAACTGATTAGTAATCTTTTGCTGCACTTGCAACCTTCATCAACAAATGTTCACACACGGCTATTTCTTAAACTGCGCGCAACAAAAAAGTATCCTACGCAACCAAGCTGCGATCACAACGTTACAGGTTGCCTAGGTATTCATACTTGCAGCAGATCAAGTTGCGCAGTTTTTTAATGTGCTGCGCAACAAAAGTAGCTACGCTGAAAAAAAGGATCTCTCAGTCGAAATGAATATGACTTTGACCCAAAAGATTGGCGCTTTTCAATAGGGCCACGAACGACGTTTCTTTACCCAAAGCATTAACTATCTTTTCATAAGCTTTAAAAAATTACTTTAGAGAATAGAAGAATCTATCTGTCCAAAGTATTTCACTCTTGACCCAAAATGAATATGCAAAGAAGCTCTTGCTACAAGAACAATAGCCTCTTTGATTCATACAAAAATTTTTGATTGAAAAGGGACATTTCTTGATTAAAGAAACACTTTTCTTAAACCAATAGCGAATACTATTGACTCAACTAAAATTTATTTTGATCTAAGAGAAGTCTATACTTCATATACAGGCATATTACGAGGTATATTGTTTTCTGATAAATTTAGGTTTTCCTGGTCTGTAGTAAGTAAAGTGATATTATTTTCCTCGATTCGATAAGTAGTTATTTCTGCTTCTTCACTCCTTGGTATTTTTTGGGGTGGTTCATCACTCTACAAATTACAAAAAAATGTTACATCACGATTAATCAAAGTAAAGCAAATAAATTATTAAAATTATACGCTTTGGTCACATTTTGAATTTTTTAATACGGCGACTAGAAATTCTAGAATTTTTGTAATTATTTGCATAAAAAAATCGATTCCTATATTCTATTCTATCTATAGTCACGCATGTATTATCTAAACAAGTGCATTAGGTAAATGTCTCTTACCTTCAAATATAGCAAATAAATGCTCTAATTTCCATTTTTTCAGAAACTCCTTAAAGAATCCATATATCCTAAATATTGTCCATAAAAAATGACAAATGCATGTTAATAACGATCACTAATTTGTTATACGATATGCGTTTAAAAAGCTAATTATGCAAAATTCCAAGTGGAAAATTCCAAGCAACAAAACTCGTACGTACTATGATGTGCGACCTATGAAATGCGACGTACGACTGATCGGACTGCCGACTGATTGTATATACCATCCTTCGTCATCGTCTTTGCGTGTCGTTATTTTTCATCAAAAGAGTATTTAGCTATTGGAAAAATGGCCATGATTCTTGAATGAAGTACTTCCTAGCGTATTTGTCTTATTATCTTAAAACAAAGTAACTTGCTCTTGGTTGAATGAAAATAGATTCAAGAGAAATTTTCGAATTTTTCAAGAGAACCAGTTTTCTTCAGTTAAGAGAGTTTTTCTTCAGGCAAAATATTTTCTTTTACGCAAAAATAAATTGTCTTGCCACTAATTTTTTTTTTTCAAGAACGATGACGACTTTAGTTCAAGTCTACCTTTTTTATCAGTGTATGTCTATATGTACTATACCTTTAGTCAGCCCGGCGCCGGCGTCGAATAAGTTGATGGTGGGCAATAATGAATTTAAAAATCGGGTCTTCTATGACGTTACTAAAAGCTTAATTGGTATCGAATATAGGTTCATTTATCTCAAAAATATGAATAAAAAATATATCAACATATTCGATTTTTTTAAATATGTCTTTACGCTAATATGTGTTATAAATGAAATAACGATCGATGACATTCCCCATATAATTTTCCATATAAAATGACAGCGATCTTCATTTCATAGTCATTGCTGACACCGTTTTTTTTTCGATCGTATACTTAAAACCTAAATCAGTAACTTTTTAATTATTTTATGTATATTTACAATTTGTTTAATTATTTTCAGTGTGTGACAAATATATAAAAGAATATAAGATAAAACCCGAGATAAATTTCCATATAATCAACGGAGAAGATGCTAAAATTGGCAGATTTCCCCATATGGTAAGATTTTTTGTTCTATACTCAACAATAATAACAATATTGTACCTAAAAAGCTTAAAAAACAACTTTTTTAATGATTATTTTAAATAAATAATGGGTTAAAATTCAAGGGAGTCGGGACAAAATTCATAAATAGGAAAATCAACATTCTCAATTATTATATTTTATTTTAGGCCGCTTTAGGTTTTCGAAGCGATTCCGACGAGAATATAATAGAATTCAACAGATGCTCGGGATCATTAATTTCAACCAAATTTGTCCTAACAGCGGCCCACTGTATGTTCTGTGCCATCTGTAAAAACCCAGTGTTGGTTCGTTTTGGAGTGATCAACATCACGTAAGTAAAGGATACAGGGTGTCCCAATATTCCGTCGACATAGAACTACTACGTATTTTTTGAATCAACATAAGTTTGTTGCGCACTATTTACCTCTATACAAAAGTGCTTCGTTTATCCGTTAGAGGGCACCAATTAAAAATAAATTTGAACGGTCAAAATCGGTCGTCGGTGGACTTGGAAAATCTTTATACTAAAATTTATGTAGGGTGGGGGTAGTTTTCTCGTACTTTTTCTTGATATACATATACAGGGTGGTTCAAACTGTATTCCGGAAACTTCGGCAGCATATTCTGCAGATAAAAATAAGTAAAAAAGTTAGTATAAATGTATGTCCTAAAATGTTTAGTTTCAGAGATACAGGGTGTAGAAGTTTGCAAGTAATGTAATGTAAGTAATAAACTCATGTATACAGGATCGGTGGCACATCAAAGTTTCATATTTTTAAATGGAACCCTCTGTATATTATTGCATATTTCAATTCTTCCTTCAATTCTAAGCAAAAATCGAAATCACATAATGTACCTCAAACCAACTGTTTCCGAGTTATTGACTTTTGAACATCATTTAAACAATTTGATTGAATTAATATTGATATGTTCAGTTTCATTTAATGATGTCATTCTGCCGAAACTGTGATACTATTGCAATTGTTTTTTAAATGCCTATAAGCTACTAGTAAATTTAAGTATACAGGGTCGATCATAAAGTTGTGGCACATCAAACTTCATTTTTATTAAATGAAACTTCCTGTATATTATTGTATATTTTCAAGTGATATTTTCAAAAGTCAATAGCTCGGGAAAGGTTGGTTTGAGGTACATTGTGTGTATTTCGATTTTTTCTTAGAATTGAAGGAAGAATTGAAATATGCATTAATATACAGGGGGTTCTATTTAAAAAAAAAACTTTGATGTGCCACGACTTATGACCGACCCTGTATAGATGAATTTATTACTCGCTCATAGATATTTAAAAATTCTATAACTTTTGTATTTAACATTTTGTGCTACCTCCTATATTTTACCTAATAATGGACCGTTTCCATACATAACAACGACCCTGTATATCAAAACAGAATCGGAGCTTTGTTGATGTAAAAGATAAGTCTTATTTTTACGTGAGGAATCTCCTCACGGGAAATGGCACATGATTTTTGAAACACCCTGTATTTATATTTCTCTCTTTTTAGTTTAAATTTCAAGAATAAAAAATTAAAAGAATCATCTACCAAACACTTGAATCAACTATCGCAAAAATTTATATAGTACCAGAGTAAAATATTCTGTGATAGTACTCACTGAGAACATACCGTACGATCGGAAAAAAACAGCGCCCAGGTGGCTTATAATTTTACATATAAAATGACAGCGATATTCATTTCAAAGCTGTCTCTGACGCCGTTTTTTAATCCATATTCATATTATGAAAACTAAAAACATGTCTGTTTTAGTGATACTAAGGACGCACAAGATATAGAAGTAAAAAACGTAATACTGGGAGATTACAACTACACGTCAAAACACAACGATATCAGCTTGATCGAGCTGATGAAGGACGTAACAACATCCAGGACAGTCTATCCAGCTTGTTTGTATACCTCGCCTGATGATCCTATTAGTTTGATCATAACTGGATGGGGAAATACAGGTAATATAATGGCTACAGAACAATATAAAATGTGTCCCATTTACTAGCCCAAGTAGCATTTTCACGATTTGCGACCACATGTTTACTAAACGCAACGTTGGATTAGTTACAAAAAATAGTTAGCTCCGTAGCTTGGGTATTAAAATAAATGTAAACGTTGTTGTAACGTTGTGCCGACGTTGAACTAGTACTACAACAAAGTAAAAGCTTCTGCGACGTCGAATAAACGTTATCTTGTAACCTTTTTTGCTTAAGTGATATTTAGGTGATTCGGACAACGTAGTTACAATGTTGGGCAATAAAGAGTTTTCCGACGTCACTTTCAGGACCTATTCCAACGTTATGCAAACGTCGTCTGTTTTACTAATTCCAACGTTGTTAAGATTTCCTTATTCTTACGTTGGTAGGACGTCGAGCTACTACCTTTTTGCAACTGTATTGAATCATAACCTTAAATCTTAAATTTTCACTTCATTGTTCTGTTAAGTCAGACAGTTCAGTGCTATTTTTGTATTTATAAAAAAAAATTAATTAAAATGGGACATAAGAAAGGTACATATAAAACTAAATTTAAATATACATCGACATATTACCGACACTTTATCTACTCCCTCGTTTATTTAGAATATAGAGGGCGGCACAAGCTAGACTCTAGGATGACTAAATTAAGCAATCAGTATACTACCTGTTAAGGCTGAACTGCGACTTTATTAGTTCAGTATGCGACTACTCGAACTACTCCATCTTAATCTCCAAAACAACAAAGTGAAAGCCGCCATGTTGTTGAATAAGAAAATGTTTCGTTCCTAAAATAGCAATTCCTGCTTTTTGAATACATTAACTTGAAATATTTGAGCCTAAACAACACGCGGAAACAATTTTTTCGACTGCGAATAAATTATCCTCATTTTACTAGAAAAAAATTCAAGAATTTTTTTAAAAATTCTTTAATTTTAAGGCCCATTAGTATTTTTTAAAGTAGAAACAATACATTTATCAATAAAGTTGTTTGCGTTTAACTTTTTTGCCTTGAGTAACGAGTTACAGAGTCGGTTAAAAGTGTTTCAATAATTATGATCTTCAAACATCCTCCACACTTAAATACTTTTGTTTTGTTTTCCTTCACTGTCATCTGACATATGTCTCTAACTAAATCATAAAAATAATATTTTTACTATAATTATCCCAATTTAGGATAAAACGCGACTTAGACGCCATATTAGT